AAACTATATCTATTTTTCTAAATTCTATAAATTCTTGAATTAATAAATTTATTAAATTCGTGAGAGACGGACATTTATTGTAGATAAACATTGTTTGGCCAAATAGCTTTGTTTTTCTCAATAAAATTAACTAATGCATTTTAGTTTATATTCATCAGTGATATTTCTGCCTTTCTGTGCTATTTTTGGCCCGTGTGAGATGTGGCCGCAGTAATGTTTGCACTACGATGAGGTTGGGTAGCTATTTCGGTACTTGTTTATAGTAGCAGATATTAATAAAATTTGTACAAATTTTTGCGCTATTCAAAAACAAAACTTTGACGTAATCAAAAACAAAATAAATTCAATTAAATTATTTATTTTGGATTTGTATATAAGTTTTCTTCGTAGAAAATGTTTGTATTTTGTGTTTTTCACCTAAAATCGAAACGCTACACACGTAACGTAATTAGTATTTTCGTTACGTATACGTCGTGTAGTATTTTAGATTGAAGCGATTCATCGATTGATCGTTTATTTAAAATCACATGCTGCGCTGTGTGCTACAAATTAGACGCGCAGCAGCTGAGGTAGATCACAAAACGATGCTTATTTCAGGCGATGCTGTGAGATTGATTTTAGTTTCGTGCCCACAAAATGTGTAGTACTGGCGATAAGCCCCCATATCTGTAATGGACCGCGACCGCGGCGTTATGCCAACCGTAAGTTATTGGCTTTTATGCGGTGAGCGTTGTGACTGCTGCTGTCTATCTTTGGTATTAAAAAGTTTCGCTGTCGTGTGCTTTGTTTATATTTAATATGAATTTTGCTGCTAATTATATGCATAAATTTTGTTTAATAGTTCAATGAGGCACGCGAGTTAAATTTGGAAATTATGTGAAAATTTGCTATTTTTGTGCTTTCAAAGGTAGTTGCTGCATGTGTGTGTGTGCATTCATAACAAAAGTTTATTTTTGACGAAATACAACATTTTTAAAATGAATATTTTTTACTAATTAAAATTGAGTACTACAATTAGTCAACTCGTCTTGCTGAAATGAAAATATAAAATTTAACAACTGAAAAAAAATTGAACGAAAAAATATTCAAGAATTTCATGCCATAATTTTTGAACTAGAAACGTTGATAAATTACTAATTTTTTTTTTTTTTTGATTTTTTAAATTAGAAATTGTTGTACTTTGGTTTTTTGCAATTTTTCAAATATAGTTGACATAATACATTATTTTAAGTTTTATAATTATGTTTTCCTACTTCCTCAAGTGAGTCTGCTCCATAATTCTTACAGTTTTAACAAGTTGACAACTTGAAATTTGTATATTGTTCTTGGCTCTTAATGTTCCAAAAGACACAAATCCCTATCTGAGAGTGTACATATGTATATTTGTATAAATTTATTTATATGCAATTGGTTTAACTTTGCTGCGATACAATGTTGCTTGTTTGTGCAGTGCGTTGCTCTGTTGCAAATTTAAACTGACAACATAATTCGCCAGTATATCATAATCAAAATACGCCTACATTTGTACTCTATAATAATATTACAAAAATTCTTACACCTAAACAAAACAAAGAAAAAAATTTAATTATAATTAAAACAATGAATGGAACATTATTGCATACATAACAAGACGCCTTTGCATGGCAAGAGTTTATCTTGCTCGGCTCTTGTTGACACAAATTAATAAAGATTAAACCATTAATCTGCTTTGATTTCTAAACAAATCAAATTATTTGAAAAAATCAAAAAGGAAGTTTAATTTATTCAAAATAACTCAAAAATATTAATAATATTTATGTACACATAACTACACTTCGATATCAGCTGAAGCATTTTCACTAGTCGTTTGATATATGAGTAGTATTTGAGGTTTTCAGGTTTCTTTTTTCGTATTTTTACTTTCATTTTTGTAAAAAATAACTAATAACTAAATAACCTCCTTTCAGATCCTGGCGACACCTGACGATATATCATAAATTCAGAAAGCTAACCAAAAATATTAAACATAGATCACAATTTATTTTCCAACGTGATTTTTATAGTTAATCAATCTGAAATCACGGCAGATAATAATAATACGAATTAATTAATCTATTTCATATGTTTCGTTGCTGAAGTTAGAATTTGATTACTTTTCCACTTATTTGTGCAATACAGACCAATATGACTTTGAATATATATAAATGTTTTGGAAAAATGTAGATGAAGCTTGCAAATGGTACATCCTCTTCAAAACGGCGATAAAGTATAGTCTGTATTGGTTTAGTAATGTAAGCATCTACATTTGGATGTGGATGCCGTTTGTACTTATTAACGGCATTGTTTCGTTTACTAAGAAGTAAACAAAACAGAGCAAGCTTTAAACTAAATTGATGGTTTCAGCACCTCTAGGACACCACTCGCCGAAATAAATCAAAGGACATATGTATATACTTGTATATTTATTAATAATGTAACATAACATGACTGAATGATAAATAAACGTAACATATAGTCGATTCAGCATTTTATCTAAAGGCATTCCTTACACTAAAAATTGATTTTTGGATACTGACCTGAAACGAAATATTTCTAGAAGATGTCTGGATTCAAACAGCATTGAAACGCATTTTAATGATATGTATTTCTTTAATGATAAAAATAAATAAATGATTATTAATTTATTGATGACATTGATCAATATTGATATTGATTATAATATATGGCAACCTAAACAATACTTTTGCTTAGATAACTTCTGTTTATTTCTGATTAAATGTATTCTTATATTTTTACTGTTTTATATATAAAATAATTATTAATCGGTATATATATGATTCATAAATAAGTTTCAAAAATTGAGTTATTATAGTGAATCTCTAAATAGTATTGTAAATAATTGTCATAAATTTAGAAAAGATACCATAGACAATATTAATAAATACTGAAAGATACTTAAAGTCAATTGAAAAGATATTTATGAACAAGTACTAGTTTCGAATTCGAAAGTTAAGTCACCAGCAATAATTTACTAATTATACTAATATTAGTTTCAAATTCAATTCAACTAATACCTATATTGAAAGATTTTAGATTTTTCTATAATAATTTTTTAATTAGTTCCATATAAATTAAATAGTTTATAATATCATTATTTACGTATTAGGAATGAATGTGGTTTGTTGTTTCCTTGCTATATTCAAAATTGAAAATACTTGAATGCTTTCCTTTGTCAGCCATAAAAGCAGGCGAAATTATTCATATGATAACTTTTCAAAAATTGTTACATTGTAATTTAGGTCTGTATATTAACATCGTACTGATGATCAAACAAAAATATCTGGGCATTGTCAAGCAAGACTGGCCAGTTGAACCTTCTTGTCAGATCTCCAGATTGACTTGACCAAAACTAAATGAAAAGCACAGCAGTCAGCTGCTTTAACTAAGTCGGAACCTTCTCAGTACTACATTATTGGAGCTGACGGGTCACTGCGTAATAAGAAGACATACTATGAAACTGGCTCTACCTTATAGTGACTTTTGCCCAAGATGGAGCTCTGCAGATGAGGAAGAAACTATGATCCATCTCATGTATCAGTGTCTATCATTAGCTAAGAGAAGATCTAAAATCTTCGGGCTCATTTTTTTAACGACCTAACAGAGCTATTATCCTGCAAAAATAGAGACTTAGCCAAGTGGAAGCTCCAGCTTCCAAGAAAATTACTTGTATTCTATGTAAATTCTTTAGATAACAGTTTCAATAATTATTACGGTAACAATAAAATTAAGTGTAGTAGAAACGGAGTTGCATCTTCTTCTTTCATTAAAAACTGATTTAAAACCGAAAATCCGGTATGTAGTTAATGGATTCAGTAACGTACCTTGAAAGTATGGCAGCAAATATAATCGAAGAAGTGGAAAAACAATGGAATTGGAAGTACTTTCGTTCAAGTAGAAATAATTAAGAATTCCAGATATATAGTCATCTGTATAAAGTTTCGTTAATATAACGCAAACTTAAGAGTAACTATATTTTTGAATCGTGAAACATGGAAGAGCACCATTGTCATCTAGTCAAAAATGCAGACTAGCTTAAAATAGTGCTTGTGTTCAAACGTACATCTGGTGCTAGTAGAGAATATCCGGTAGTTTATATTTTTAAGTTTATTTGTGTCGTTGCTAAAGAGAATATTATGAATATCGTTCAAGATTTACTAGCAAAACTTGTAGTAAAAGAAATTTTTACTCTTTAGTGTAATCTCGATAAACGTTTTTTGGAAGATTTTCATCTTTCGATAAAAATCGTGAAGCATGAACAAAAGCATGGAACTGGGTTTATAAAACTACAGAAGTAATACATATTTTTTTACGGCATATTAGGTAGTTAGGTAGAAGCTATATTATTTATATGGAATATTAAAAATAAAATTTAAATTTACAGAGAACCTAATCAGCCATAGATTACACGCATATTTGGTAGAGGTAGCAATATTCATTTTTTTGAAATGTACCCAAAAGCATTTCATTTTTCAATAATTTTTTAAGGTAAGAAATTCATGACTACATAAAAAATAATGGTGGCTTCTGAAAGACCTAAGTTAATATGGCTAAACCATATCTTAATATTATAGGATTGTATTGATTAAGGTTTGAACCAAATTGATAAATGCCACGTCGAATTTTAACATTAAGAATATTACTGGTAAAAAAACAAATCCGTGCCGAAAAATTTAACATCTGCTTTAACTTAATTTACGAAAGTTACTAGATCTTAAAACTGACGTATGAATAATTCTTGCGCAAATGCCCAGGTCTGTACAGATGCACACATATTATAAATAAAAATTTGTACACGTATTATGTATATATAATATACTATACTATTATGTATATTATATAAGTATTATATAATATATATTAACAAAAATATATGAAAAGCCTGAAATGAAGAGAATCTTGTGGATATCACAAATTTAGACAGATCTTAAAAAAAAATTATTACAAGAGATACGTTTTAAATTTCTACTCCCGATGTATGGTAATGGAACCGCCTTTATGTGCTACTTGGAGAATGGCGGGATCTCTGTTTCCACTAAAATCAACCAATTTATTAAGCTCTCCAATAAAAATCGTTATGTGAAGATTAAACATTTTGTAAATTATATGAATGCTGCATTATATAGAAGTTCCATAACCGCGTTTATGTGCTACTTGGAGAATGGTGGGATCTCTATTTTCATTAAAATCAACCAATTTATTAAGCTTTTCAATAAAAATC